GACAGTGCGGAGCGATCTCAATGGCGATGGCGTTGCTGGGAACCTTCTGGAGGCCTTCCTGGAACAGCACGGCACTCACCAAGTTGTTCACATGGTATTCTGCCGAGGAATACTGAGCCAGTTCCTCTCCCCAGCGAGCCTCGGGCACAGAAGTACTCACCCACTTGGGCGAACGCTTCTTGGGGGTGATCACCTGTTTGGATGGAAGAATTAGGGGGTTAGTATCAGAGAACACCATATCATTGCAAAACTAAACAAGAAAACAATGCCACAAGTTTTATTACGTAATAGTTGTAAAGTTCATAGGCATGCTGCAGAGCGCAGGCATACGCTTGGTAAATACCAAACGGTTATAATTGCTATTGTTGTTATTATTATTTTTATTATTATTATTTTTATTATTTTTATTATTATTATTATTATTATTATTATTATTATTATTATTATTATTATTATTATTATTATCATTATCATTATAATTATCATCATTATTATTATTATTATCATTATCATTATCATTATTATTATTATTATTATTATTATTATTATTATTATTATTATTATTATTATTATTATTATTATTATTATTATTATTATCTTACTACTAATTCTTACTACTAATGGAGCTAAGGCCAAATTTTGCGAACAGTACATTCTCAAAAACTACCGTATGAAAAAATATGAAACTTTGCCAGTACCCATAACTTGAAACGTAGTGTTGCACTATTGTACTTTCATTAAGATCAAATGTGAAAGAAGAAAGCCCAGTTTAAGTTAAATTCAGTCCTTTTGTTGCGATCCCGATCATTTGCTTCGACAATGTATATTCACTGCGGAGTGCCGACTGCGCCAAAGGGTATTTTGTGTTCAGTTGTACATAAAGTAGGTTTACGGGAATTCCCGGTTTCGGTCTCACGCCTTTAGGAGGAGGAGGAAGAGGAGGAGGAGGTGTAGGTGTAGAAGAAGAAGAAGAAGAAGAAGAAGAAGAAGAAGAAGAAGAAGAAGAAGAAGGAGAAGAAGAAGAAGAAGAAGGAGAAGGAGGAGGAGGAGGAGCAGGAGGAATTAGCGGAGGAAGAGGGGGAGAACAAGAAGAAAAAGAAGGAGAAGAAGAATCAAGTAGTAATACATTTTACAAAGTGGTGAATTTTGCGTTTGTTACCCTCCCTTGGGAGAGATAGGGGGAGAGAGAGGGAGAGAGAGAGAGAGAGAGAGAGAGAGAGAGAGAGAGAGAGAGAGAGAGAGAGAGAGAGAGAGAGAGAGAGAGGAGGCCAGAAAGCACTAACAGAGAGAAGGTGGTGAGAGTGACAGGGAGGGTGTCGTCGGAAGCGCAAAGAGTAGTTTAGCCTACCGTAGACCTACTTAATGTATCGATCGAGATCAAGAAAAATCACGAAATGAAAGTAGAATCTAGATCTGTAACATTTTGATCTAGAATCTAGATTAGGGTTCTTCTAGGAAACAACAATTGCCATGTAGGCCTAACTCTTTTAAAAAAAAGTGATTGAGCTGGAACTTTAGGAGAAAATGCCACGCCTTCGAAGAGAGAGAAGAAGTCTTACCCCTAGAGGTAGTCAAGAGGGGGTGCTGCATGGATAAATTCAAGGTAAAATATTTGTGTTTTGTTTCTTTCCTGTTTTCAGTCTTTTTCCTCTTCTTAACTTTCCTAAAAAATTCTTCATTATTATTCCGTTCGTAGAACGGGTAGTTTTATTACTAGTTATTATAATAATTTTAATAGTTATTAACACAATGCAATCAAATCAAGACAAACCTGTTCTAACTTAGCTTTCAACACGGGTGCGACCTCGTTCATGAACGGAGAATGGTACGCCATGTTGGAAGAGTTGACGTCACGGACAAAGACTCCTTTAGCCTTGAGCTCTTCAGCAAACTTCGTGACAGCGTCATACGCTCCTGCGATGGTGACGCTTTCCGCAGAGTTGTGGCAGGCCACAACAACGCCCTCTGGACAAAGCTCATTACATTCGTCCCAGGACAGACCTGTACAAATGGGGAATGTGAAGATCTATTTATAGTTTTTATTTTACTTACTTTACTTTTACTTTACTTTTCCGATCCAGCGGCCATCTCTGAGTTTTAGCCCCCGGCCTGTCGATACAGTAAAGATTTATACGTTTTTATCAGATGTGTTTTGTCTTTGTATAGATTATTTCCGGTATTTGGGGAGGCAGGTAGGTAGGTAGGTACTACGCGGGTCACTAAGTGCAGGGCAAGTAAAGATGTGGTGTGATACTGTTTCATCCTGGCAGTCACACAACTGTCAGTTGGGTAGGGTATCTTTGCGGATCCTATTTAAGTGGGAATTCAGTGGGGCGTGTTGTGTTCTCAGGCGAAAGATAGTGACTTGTTCTCTTCTACTCAGGGAATTAAGTGCATCCTTTGAGGTGGGAGCAGTCATATATGCATAATGTTCTTCCAGTTCTGCCCATTGCCCATCCATTCAGCCACCGTTCCCTGGTGTTGTATTTGATGAAGTTCTTGACTGTCTGTTGTGATACCGGGTTTTGGGGTTGTGATTGTGATGCTCCCTTCTTGGCAACGGTTTCTGCTCTGTCATTTCCTGAGATGTTGCAGAGGCCAGGTATATACTGTAAAGTCAGGTCGACGGCATGGATCTGAATGAAGGTGCTATAATTTGTTAGAGCCACAGACAGGAAGGCTGGGCTTTCCATATTCATGTTTTCAAAAGCTTGGAGTACTGATTTTCCGTTTGTGAAGATAACGGTGTCCTCGATTTTGTCTGGATAATGGAAATGTTGGTCAGGTGGAGGATTTCTGCTCCAGTGGCGATGACCTCTGCCTCATAATATGTACAAGAGGTGCCACAAGCATCAAATTGTGAGTTTGTTTCTTTTTCTTTCAAATTGCGGTTGTTCGTTTGCTTTTTGGGGGTTCTTTTGGGGGTTTTGAGATTGGCTTTGTCCATTTCGGATTTTCTGTTAATTGATTACTTAATTTTGAAAGCCTTCGAGCGACGGAATAAGTTATGAACCATGATCGCCGATGTCTGTCACAGATTCGGCACTTGATGATGATGATGATGATGATGATGATGATGATGATGATGATGATGATGATGATGATGATGATGATGATGATGGTGACGACGACGATGATGATGAAAAACAGTCTGTCAACTAATATGATTGAGCGTACCGATAGCTACCATCTTTCCCCGGGGTAGTTTTGCCTCCTGCAGACACCTGCCCCTCCAGTAAGCAACCTGCACTGTTTCCTCCGCTGTGAGCGAGCCGTCAGCGTAAGCACAGCCGAACTCCCCGACGGAGTGACCGACTAGTCCATCGGGGAAGATGTGCAAGGTGTGGAGGAGGTCAACAAGGGCGATCTGGAAATAAGATGGACATTTTGGTGTAGTATTCGTCTGACGACTTTCAAGACAATTGCAGAAGGTTGTCTGCCAGACTTAGCCCCCCAGTTATCTGCAGTGTGTGTGTGTGTGTGTGTGTGTGTGTGTGTGTGTGTGTGTGTGTGTGTGTGTGTGTGTGTGTGTTGGTGTGTATGTGTGTGTGTGTGTGTGTGTGTGTGTGTGTGTTTGTGTGTGAGTGTAGGTTTGTATGTGTGTGTGCGTGCAGAGGGTGGGGGGGGGGGGTACGCTTAATAAAAGAGGACATGAGATGTGAAAGCCCCTGTAGAAGACCGTTTTTCTTTCTTTCTTTTCTTTATTAATCCCCTTTTTTGAGGATATTATAGATTCGTTCTACGCTTGGGTGAAACATTGTGTCCAGGTGGTGTATTGTATTAATTTTTATAAGCCATTACAAAATATGGCTTCGAAGTTGGCTCATCAAGTTTGTCATTTTTATATTTAGCACTAGTACATTTTTTCAAATTGTTTTCTTCCGAATGAAGTTTTAGCGTTTGTTCAAATAATATTCAGCTAAGTTATTCTTGCTTGCTAAAGATAACTTTCTTCCCCAAAAAAGGGTTGTGTCCTGTACCTGGATGGAGACAATCCCAACGTATGCTGTGAGGACCTCGCCGTACTTTGTCCCGCTGTCGTTCATGATAAGGTCGTGCAGGTCAACATCGTGTTGGCGGAGCACAGTTGACAACCGGTCAATGGTCTCTCGGAACTTGGCCAGCTCCATCATTTTCCGACCCATGCCTTGCCACTGGGAGCCAATTCCAGCGAAAATAAACCAAACTGGTCTGCGATCAGGACTGCAACGCTGAAGAATTAAATAAAGACCCAGTTTTTTCAGAATGGGTGTTCGCTTCATGTGTGTTTGAATGGCTATATAAAAGGTATAATCATAATCAATGCAGCAATATTTTTTAAAAACGATGATACATGCTATGTAATTAAGTGTGTGAATTTAATGCCTCTTTTAACACTGTTGTTATTTGGTAGCACAACCTCCGAATTTTTAGTCCATCCCCAATAGGGATCAGCCTCATGGGCTGAAAGTCCTTAAATCTTTACAAAACAATCTGAGTTTAAGAACACCAATTCAATGATTCGAATAAGGGAGGTCCGCAACGTAGTCCAGCATGTCATTCACTGGGCTAGCGGAGCGCTTAAAAAACCTAATCATTGTAAGATAGAAGAATACATTAGAATAGACCCAACGTTCCAGAAATCCTTACATTGATCTCTTCCACCTCAGAGGTGCCATTGATTATTGTGTATCCTCTGAAGGGCACCTGGTTGGTGGGCATGTTGGCACTGTCCTGTATCAGAGCTTGGAACTCCACACTCTTCGCATTCTTTCTGACTTCTTTCAGGACCTCACGCACCCCCTCCTCCGATCGGGCACTGAAGGTGAAGAGTCGCGGCTTTTCACTGGCCATGTGAGGCTCACGTGGCTCTGCGTCATAGGACCTGGAGATATAAACCATAGTGTTTAAACAACAAAATATAATACTTCTTTGATCCTTCAGCAAAGGAGTAAACCGCCAAAGATTCAAGTATATATCTTTATCCTTAGATACGCATGCCCCTCAGGTAATATCTCCAAAAAACCAAAAGCGAAAGTAGAATATTAATTTATATATGCCCTGAAAAAATAGCATTTCACAGTTAAGTACACAACATCCTGTTATTGCTCTGTTACAAGCTCGGTTAAACAGCATTTTGAAAGAAAATTCAATGGGTAATAGGGAACTTGATTTTGTTTTCTGCTTTTAAAAATTTGAACCAGTTTTTTAAAATATTGCTCCATTAATATGATATGGAGCTGAAGTAGTCTTTATATCTGCTCAAGACAAGTGGGAAGCACAGTGTCCCTCTATGTACGGTTATCCGCATAGCAGTGTAATAAGCTAACCAATCTAAAACTTTCAAGATAGACGGAAAGAAACTACAGAACGGACACTGGCGTGGTCTCTTTCACCCATTCGCAATTTCCCGGTAAATCTTTACCATATGACGTTTCTATTTGGTAATGCAACGAAAAAACAAACTAACAAAAGTGCTGACCTCAGATATGAGAAAATAGCATAATCACATTATGTTTGCTGTAAGTCTAACTATCTTCTATTTTCGTGGTGGTAGCCTCATCTACCTGTAGACAACATGGACATTTGCTCCGCCGAAACCGAAGGAGTTTTGCGCAATGAGACCACCATCCCACTTGGTACATTCTGTAACAACTTGCAAACTGCCGTCAGAAAGGCCCGGGATCTCTGGATTGGGTTTATTGTAATGGAGATTTGGTGGGATCACTCGCTCCTCCATTGCAATAATGATTTTGGCAAGAGAAGTGAGACCTGCAGATATAGTTAATACGAGCGTATGTTTGACAGTAGAGGAGAGCTAATGTTCTGTTTTTCATAAATAAAATATTTGCAAGACCTTTTTCTTTACTTCCCCGCAACTTGTTAGATCTATATATACCTTAAGTATTCTTACATTCAAACATATATCAAGCATTTATGTCTTTTTGTAAATGCATTGTGTACATGGATATCTTTGTGCGTGAACTCTGTATGTTCATAGTTTAATGCCAATGTAGGCCACACATATGTTATGTAAAGCGCATAATGCATTGCAAATTTAAAAAATAAACATGCTACATAAATGTCTTGTTCTTGTTCTTGCTCTTGTTCTTGTTGTTCTTCTATATCACTATCACCTTACTTTAGACTAGGAAATTTAGGAGCTATCTTGCTTTTCTCTGTCTGTCAGAACGTTCCTTACTAGGTAATAGAACTCTCATCTTTTTTCGTGTGAAGGCGAACTACTGTACCATCGACGATGGTACCAGGTTTCAAAAGTTAACTTAAAGATTTAACAGAATGAACGAACTAGTTTGCGATGTCAAACAAAATCAGTTTACAGTATCAGTGAAAACCCGATCACTAATGCATTCTTTAGTACAATAAGGCACGAATATATTATGCGCAAGTAATAAATGATTATCAATACCAAAGAGCTATGTTACCAAAAATTAAAAATGAACTAATCTCATATAATGATTTGTTTTAAGTATCTTTGGTACTTTATTTTCCAATGCCCCCCCCCTCCTCACACACACACATACACACGCACAAACACACACACACACACACACACACACACACACACACACACACACACACACACACACACACACACACACACACATTTTCTTTTCTACAGTTGTTCTTGAAAACATTCATTCTCTTTAGTGGCAGCTTTAGAAAAAAGCCAAAGTCTTATACATTCGACTGCTTTGATTTTTGCAAGAGATTTCCCCCTGTATTTGATGTAACTGCGTATGATGTTTATTAGTTTGTCGAAGTCGATACATGTGCTTTTAAATATGTCCCAGTATGTACAGTTGACATTTCCATGCAGCTATTCTGTAATGTTTTCCAATCATTAAAGTTTGGGTTTGTTTTCAGTTTCTTGATCTTCCGTAGGGGATAGTATTTTAGGATCACGAGTATGTTGTTATGGTCAGAGTCTACGAAAGGTGTACGGAAAAAAGGGAGAGAGCTACTTGTTAGCTTTGTCAATGTATACATAACAGGTACCGATTTTTTTATTCTTGGTTGGAAGGATGGTTGCAAAATTAATAATCAAATCTTTGAGAAAAAATCATAAATGTCATACAATTTTCCATTCTTCATCGCAGTCGGTTAACAATAAAAACATTTCCAAAGAAAATACCCGACGCCGCCTCTGCGTGCCCCATGCATGACTTGGTTGATCCAATGAGGAGTTGGCCAGATCGATCTTTGCAGAAAACTTCAGAGACGGTGTTCGTTTCTTGAGGATCCCCAACCTTTGTACCTGTTCCATGGGCTTCTACGTATGAAATCTGAAAGCAAAGATATTGGAGTAATAATGATGTTTCCTCTGATATCTAATATGAAGGAAAAGACATAATTATCAGAGACTGGGCTTTACTATTATTTTAGAACAACCAGTTTCAACTGCGTAAAGAAAAAAAAAAACCCTCGATATTTCCAATAAGATGCTATTAAGAACCAAATACTTTTCCTCCATAGCTTTAATTCGATCACAGGACTGGCGTTTCATACTGAAACTTGTCACTGAACGCACCCCCACCATTCTTAACCAATAAATCAGCTTGGTACATGTTCTTCCATCCATTTATACGCAAACAGCACCACAAGAGTAGCATAGTTCGCAGTCCTGTTTAGTTGACAATCCTTGTAATATCTGTATCTAAAGGCGACAATTACATATTTTACTTTATTTATTTACATCGCGTTTGTCGATGTAAACACAAAGTCGTTGTCTCCCCGAAGTAAACGGGTTGAAGTAAAAGGGACAGCAACATACGAACTATTAAATATAGTTAAATTTAAATAAACGCCAGAATTTCTGGGCGTAAATCCCATAGATTCATTAAAGGTTCATTCTAGATACAACACTATACAACCATCTCACGTCAGTTGGGTCAATGCCAGTTTCCTGGTAGACATCTTGCATCAACTCTTTTTGGCGTTGACCTGAAGGGAATGTGATGCCTGGAATGAAAAATAAAATTAGTTTCACAATAGTTTTCTGCTTTTAAAAGATTTATGTTGGGTTGTTTCTGTCTTTCTGAAAATTTAATAATCAAGACATACTTAAATGGTCATTAGTGATATCTGAAACTTTGATGAAAGTGTGTGTGTGTGTGTGTGTGTGTGTGTGTGTGTGTGAGAGAGAGTGTGTGTGTGTATGTGTGTGTGTGTGTGTGTTTGTGTGTGTGTGTGTGTGTGTG